AGATGGGTTAGGGGTTCTGAGGGGTGCAGTCAGGGGGTTGGAAGTGGGAGGGGATGGATAGGGGCGGGGGCCAGGCTGTTTGGGGAGACACAGCCTTCCCTACCCGGGGTGTAGTGTATTAAATTCCTCCCCATAGGAATGTGCTACTTACGAAGTACCAGGACTGGCAGCCATAAGTAGTACACCATAAGTAGCACATTCCTATAGGGAGCAATTTAATACACTACACCCGGCGGCTCACACAGCCACGCTGCCCAGCAGGAACTCGCAGCCCTGCCACCCAGAGCGCTGGTGGCACAGCAAGCTGAGGCTGCAGGAGAGAGGCCGGGGGCTAGCCTCTAATACAGGGCTGGGCAGGATGGTCCTGCGGGCCACAGTTTGCCCACCTCTGTCCTAGCCTCTGTTTGCTAGAAGCTGGAAATGGGCGACGGGATGGATCACTTGATGATTACCTGTTCTGTTAATTCCCTCTGGGGCACCTGGCATTGGCCACTGCCAGAAGACAGGATACTGGGCTAGATGAACCTTTGGTCTGACCCAGTATGGCCATTCTTATGTAAGCAAGTAGTTTTTAAGTGAGGTGAAAATTGGGATATGCAAGACAAATCAGACTCTGGAATGGGGTACAATAGTCTGGAAAGTTTGAGAGCCACTGTATTAGAGGAAACACATACAAGACAAAAAGTAAATTCATGAATAATGGCTAAATTACCATGAGTCTAACTCTGCAACTCAGGGGAGGAAGGGTGTAGGTAGAGTCACAGAGAGAAAAGCAGCCTTCATGTGGCTGCTATCAATCTACTGTATATGTGAGTGGGCATGTGGTGGGTCCTTTGCCCTCCAATATACCAACAAGCATGGCAGAGGAAGTAAAGGGGCTCATTATCATTAAGTTCCCCTCCCCTTGGGAGCAATTTAATGCCAGGTCTGGGCTTTGGACAATTTATGTATTTGCAGGGGGCTTAGAGTAAAAGTTAGGCCTTAATAAGCAGAGTGATTAAATTAGTGACTCAGCAAGGGCTGAGAAACTGAAAATCTTTTTTATATTTGTCTTCAACAAGATCAATGACGAATAGGAATTTGGACGATTAAGGGATATGTTTGGGTGGCTGTGAAATGAAACCCACAGTCAGAAGCAGAGTGTATACATGTATGTGACTGTGAGTTCCCAACATGCAGCGGCGGGGAGCTCTGAGCCCTTTAAATCCCGGCCCCAGCCCGGCTGCCGGAGCTGCGGGGACCGGGGGGGAATTTAAAGGGCTCGGGGCTCCCCCCAGCTTGACTTAACAGAGAAATCTTCGGTGAGCTTAAACATAAAAAGGAAGGAAGTGGAAACTTGATAGATGACTAGGGAGGAATAAAAATATTCCATGCAGTGGTATAATCAGGAAGGCCAAAACACAATTGGAGTTGCAGCTAGCAAGAGAGGTGAAGGGTAACAAGAAGGGTTTCTACAGGTATGTTAGCAACAAGAAGGTGATCAGGGAAAGGCGGGACCCTTACTGAATCGGGGAGGCAACCTAGTGACAGATGATGTGAAAAAAGCTGAAGTACAGTATGGAGAGGAGGTGAGCAGCCTTTAGTGATGAAAGAACAGGTTAAGGACTATATAGAAAAGCTGGACATGCACAATGGGGCCGGATGCAATGCATCTGAGGGTGCTGAGGGAGTTGGCTGATGTGATTGCAGAGCCATTGGCCATTATCTTTGAAAACTCATGGTGATTGGGTGAAGTCCCGAATGATTGGAACAAGGCAAATATAGTGCCCATCTTTAAATAAAGGGAAGAAGGAGCATTTGGGGAACTACAGACCAGTCAGCCTCACCTCAATCTCTGGAAAAATCATGGAGCAGGTCCTCAAGAATCCATTTTGAAGCACTTGGAGAAGAGGATAAACCAGAAGTGTTTAGCGCATATAAAATGTTGAATTATTGTCTTACTTTACTTCTCTTTTCATTTCCTTGGTTTTGCCCTTTCCATCATGTTATGTCTGGATCAGTTGTGGTGTCTTCTCAGCTGAGCATTCTGTATCTCCTTTAAATCCCCACCTCTTCATGAAGTCATCTTGCTGTCTTTTCAGCAAAATGGGGATTTAATAATCCCCTCACACTGCAGCTTCTGACCAATTGGCATCTGTTTTGCCATGTGTCTGGTATCTTGTAAACTCTGTAATGGGAACTATATTTGTAAATATTCTTAACCTTTATGGTGTTTGTATGGATATTTTGTAATAATTAATAATGCCATAAACAGAACTGATTATTCCCCTCAAATATCTTCATAGTAGGTATGCCAGGGAACTCAACTTATCTGTAAGAAGTTGTGAAATAATATTTTACAAGAAGCTAAAGAGGAATGTTGTAGTGAAACTATAGCAATCCTTCCCTGCTGTCCTCTAAAATATTGTAGTCCTGTGGACAGGTCACCAGACCAACAGGAAGGAGTCTATTTCTGGGTTATCATTATTATTTCTGTGTGTGACCTTGAGCTAGTCACTTTTGGTTCAATCCATGAAGGGATTTAGTCACTGCAACACCTAACTTTTAGGCACTCTATGGAATCCTCAATCTTGAGTTAAGCACTAGGTTCCATAGACAATGCATAGGGAGAATTTTGTGCCTGAGAATGAGATTCACAAAAGCCAGCAAGCTGAACAAAGAGCCATCTAAACTAGGCAGTAGGAAATGCTGAGGAGAAGGGTATGGCCTAACTCCTGCCCCTCAAAGGTACTTAGGTGCCTAACTCCAGGCCAGAGAGAGGCACCTATATCTACTCAGGATTCAAAGATATGAACCTGATCCTGGAGTTAGATACCTAGTCCAGGTCAGGACTTTCTCATAAAGTGTGTGTGTGGGGATGGGAGGGGAGAGATAGAGAGAGAGAGAGATTGCCCTCTCCCCCAGCCCATTATAGCCAATAGAACGGTGGTTAGGGCACTCTCTTGGGAGGAGGGAGACCTGTGATTAAGTCCTTGCTCAAAAGAGTGGTGATTCAAACATGGATCTCCCACATCTCAGGTGAATGCACTAACCACTGAGCTATTGGGTACAATGAAGATGGTCACCATCATTGATTTGCTTTCCCCAGCTGCCTTTTGTGCAGGTTAGGTGTGCTCTGAGAAAACCTAGTTCATGAATCCTGCCAGTGCTAAGATGTAAGATAGGGTGCCAAGCAGCTCAGTGGCTTCAGTGCTTAGGCAGTTTTGCTCATGACCACAGGTAGAAACATAGGGACTTTAGGGAGCAGCTGAGTGAGTGTTTTGAGAAGCAGAATGACACCTAAATGTTGGACTCAGGTGCCTAAAGTGTCAAGTGCCCAAGTCCCTTTGTGGATTTAGCCCTTCCCCTCTCTGTGTCTCAGTTCCTCCATCTGTAAAATGGGGATAGTGGATCATATCTTCTCTGTAAAGTTTTTTGAAAAATATTATATGTATGATCAGTATATTTGAAATTTTCTTTCCAAGGAAGTTGAGACAGTAATAAATACTGAGTGAAGTAATTTCATCTGAGCTTCAACACATTTTAGTAAATAGATTTTTTTAAAAAATCTGCAGACGCACTGACTCTTGCCAACTCTTGTATGCTGTGCACACACTTGGGCCACTTGAGCTGTGGAGAAGGTTGGTTATAAACAAATCTTTGGAATACAAGTGTTTCAGTACCACAGGAGAGTGGCAGTACTTGCTTATGTCTTTGAATATTAAGACCAAAAGCCTAACTTAATGGAAAAAAATATGTGCGTATAGTAAATTTTGCATTTTAAAATATTTGTAATGGGATAATCTTTACGTTTATTCAGTCATTCAGGTTTTTGTTTTTGATAACTTACTTCATGCTTACTTTGTTAATTACTGAATTTGTCATATACATTTTTTTAAAAGATTGTGTCCTACAAATACTGAATGATTTAATGAATTTAAGTTTTAAAGTCCTTGTTGATTCTTCTAACCTAGTTTTGTGATGCCACGTTTCCTAAGCATTTTTCAGCATTTAATCATATTTTCCTTTCCTTTTCAGCTTCTTAATTAAATGAATTCAAGTGGGATACACATAAGGCTAATGTTTACTATGAAGATAAGCAATTACTGATATTATCTGCTCACCTATATTACATTTATTCAAGATTCCTGTGTTGGTTCATCTGTGTATTTTTTTATTTTATTTTTTTGTGTGATAAGTTACAGTATTCTTGTAGAGAAAATATTTTTTTTTATATCTTACATAAAGAATGCTTCATTTAAATTATAGGAACCTATATATTAAATGTTAAATATCTTAATGGAAAATGTGGCAAACTGTTGTGGATACAGTATATTTAGTGGTGCAAAATTTAAAGAACATTAATTATAATGTGTCTTGTGGTTGTATTGCCACCTTGTTGACAGGTTATTAAAAAACCAAAAGGATATGACTGAGGTCTTTTTTGGTAACGTGTTATAAAGTTGTCTTGAGATGTACTTTAGAAACCCCCCACCCCACCAACAAAAAACAAACAAAAAAAACCCTGCTATTGGAGAAACCATACATGAAGTTAAAACTGTTATTTGATCACATAGAGCATATTATAATTTATTAATGCCACTTGGACAATAAAGAAAATAAATGTTGAACAAGCTTCTAAATTGTGTAGGCTTCTTTTTTTTTTTTCCTCATGCATTGAAATTTCTAATAGATACGATTCCTGGAATTGGTTTACTCAAGAACAGCAAGGATTTTGACCAAAAAGTTAAGAGTGATTGTACACCTATTCAGTTCAGATTGAAGGATCAAACCATTGGAAGACTACCAGTAAATCTCAGTACTCACTACACTCAAGGTCCTCTGCCATGTGACAGAAACAAAAGGCCCTAAACCTCCAAATGTTACAGCCATAATCCATGAGGCTCCAGAGCAAATAGCCTGTCAGTCAGTTTCTGTCTCAGAGGATCTCCCTGAAGGTGATAGACAATGGTCCCTGGTCACCTCAGTCATATGGGTCCTGAGCACTGTAAAGTAAGGCTCCAGATTTTGATCGATAGAGATGTCCTAGTTAGTGATAATGCTTTCTAGATCAACAACGTTGAGGAAAAGATGTTGCGGGACTTTCAAATTTTCTTGCCATAGAAAGCTGTCAAATTAATCCCACAATATGAAAGAGGGAAGATTTTTATTCTAGGTCTATCCTGATGTCTTAAAATGAAGAAAGTTCCTCCTAGAGTTTGGAGATCTTACTTTCTATCTTGTGAAAGTTTAAACTGTGTCTCTAGTAACAATCATCCTGTGTTCTGGCGCAGTGGTGTTCAACCTTTCCCATATGGAAACTCTCTTCCCATATAACCAGGCCTCTCCTCCCCTTTAGCAATGTGGGAATGGTTGTGGGGGGGTCACAACCCTGTGATACCTGTTCACACTCCTGCTCCCCAGGTTGAGAATCCCTGTTCTTGAGGAATGTGCTGTGGACCTTAAACAAATCTGTTGATTGGAATGTATACCCACATCCTAGTATCTGTCTTCTGACACAGGTACAGAACTGACAATGTCAAATGTCACCTTTATAGCTGCTATCTGATTCATATCTTTACAAAATACTTGCAGACCATTGTAGCTTGTTTACAAAGGATGGAAGTGCATCTTCACCCCTGTACAGATAATAAAACAGCACCTGGGAAGGGATCAGAAGCTCTGCTTGTGCCGTCAGTGGAGTGCCATCTAGATATTTTAGGCCTTAATCCTGCAAATACTCATACACATGCTTTAATATTACACATATGAGCAGTACTGTTGTATTCAGTGTCTCTGAGCCTCATTTACATGAAGATCCCTTATGCTGCTCTGGGTCTTAAAGTGGGTGTAAGTTACATGGATGCAACTTTAAAACCCCTTTAGAAAATGTAAAGCGAGTATAAAGAGACTACCAAATCAGAATGTAGAGGGGTTTTTTACACCCACTCGGGCCAAGTGTAAATGATTGCACCACAAGGTGCAAGGCAGTAGAGAATCATGGCCTACCTTTTTAAGATTAAGGTGGTGCTAGAGATACATCCTAAATTCCTTCCAAAGTTTGTGTTAGAATTCTTCCCTAATCAAGCAATATTTTCCCTACACTATCATGCCTGTTCTATGCCCCAATATGAAATAGACCTGTCCTTCTAAGTCTGTAGCATGGGAAATGTGAGATGCGGAGAGAAAAGTCAGAGCCCAAACAGCATACTGCTCTATAACAAAATATTGCATTTTTTCTTAAATTCCTTTTAAAAATTTCCATCAAATTGCCATTTGCAGATACTGCTACTGAGTTATACCTGCACGAGAACCTAATTTTTGCTTAGCTGACTTCACCCTTGCTAAATTGTAGTCTATACCTTTTGGCCTTGGCACTAGAAACCAACTTTGAGTTCTGGGGCTACTTTCCTTTCGTTTCAGCCAATTGGCCCTATCTGTGTTTCTCTGTTATGTCTCATGAGTCCCCTCCCCACTCTTCTTTTCTTCCTTTTTTTGTTGTTGTCAAACTGTTAAAATAATATACTCACTTAACTTACTCTGGAAATAAGCAGGATGTCATTCAGCTGTAAAGAGACAAGATGAGAAAGCATAACTGAAAAAAAATATTCAAGTAACATTTGACTTTCTCTATACACTACAATAGGTGACTGTAATACTTAATAGCTGCCACCATGTGGTACTATATAAGGCTATAAATCAGCCACTCTGATGCCCATTCAAATGATTTAAGATGGCTTCTCTCAGCACTGAGTGTTGTTTGTTTCCCCTGTGCCCTGATTCTAAAAGAAACCTAAAAACACTGGAAATGATTTCCTGTCCTAAGGTAAAAGACTGGTGAGCTTTGTATTCTGTAGCATAATTGATAAGAACATAGACTGGACAAGTTTGTAGTATGCATACTCCAGCAGATCTCCTTCCTTTACCTAGAGAGCATACTTGCTTGTAGCCAGTATAGCATTCCTGCACCTCTTGAAATGCTGGCTTCTTATTCTATGGAAACTACCCTTTCATTCAAAACAAAATGCCATTTTAGTTTCTAGGACCCAGATTTTTAAAGCTATTTAGTCATTGTTGTGCTCAGTATTGCAATGCTGAACTGATTTAGGAGCCTAAATCTCTTTTTCAAAAGTGGCATAGGCACTTTGGGCTGGATTCACAAAAGAAATTAGGCCCCTAGATGTCACTTTAGGCACCTACATTGTGGAATCAGGCCCCACTGGGAATCACAAACCCCCTACTGAACTGCTGCCGAGTACTGCAGATGCCTAAACTCTTTCAATGCCAAAACCTTTGTACTCAAATTCCCCAGATACCTGGGCTTCTTCCTGTGGACATGTGCACTGCAACCCCACACCAGGTGTCTGGAAGCCTAAGCCCCAGAGCAGTGCACAAACTGGGGGAAGATAGGTGTTCCTCCCCTAACTCAGGAGACCTGATCTGGTAAGCATGCTCAGCACTAACCCATTGGATTGGGCCCCTATAGGTGAGCTTACACAAAATGGCTGGGGGGAGGATGACCCCTTTTTAGCCTAGTGGTTTGGGTACTCAGTTGGGACGGGAGCAACACCCCAGTTCAAGTGCCCCCTCCACCTGGAAAGAAGGGATTTGAACAGGTATCTCCATCTCTCAGGGAAGTGCAGTAGCCACTTGGCTACGGGATATTCTGATGTGGGGCTCCCTTATCTCTCTGTTGAAGCTGTTCCTCTGTGGCTAAATAATTTTAAAAAGTCATTGGAACAGGAAGAAAGGCTCCTGGGTCTCCTACATCTCAGCGGAGTGCTCTAACCACCAGGCTACCAAGTCATTCTCATAAGTGTGCTTTCTCTGGCCCAGTGATTCTTTCTCAGGCAGAGGATTCAACCAGGGGTCTGCTACATCCCAGGTGAGTTCCCTTGTACCCATGGGGCTACAAGTTATGAGGGAGGTCATCCTCATCCAGCTTCCTGTAAAAGCAGCGTAGGTGTCTAATCTCAATAAAGGATTTCCAGCTGAGAATCCCAAGTGAAGGCAGGCACCTCCCTTCAGCCCAGATTTAGGCACATATGTCAGTGAAAGAGGGCAGGGCTTAGAATAACCCATCATCTTGACATCTCCCATTGGCATGCTTTGGTGGGGAGCAGCCTAGCATACTGGCTTTTGTGAATCCCATTCTGAGGCATCTGTCTCTCCCTATTTATTGTATAGGGAGGCTGGGCACCAAACTCAGGCTTTGTGAATCCCAGTGACTTTCAATGTGCCTAAAAGTTGGATGTGATGCTCAGCCTTGTGATGCCTAAGTTTCTCTGTGAATCTAGCCCTTCGGAATCTAAACGCTGTTGACTCTCAAGACCTGAAGAAGAGTCTGTGTAGCTCAAAAGCCAACAGGAGTTGGTCTAATAATTGATATAATCTCACCCACCTAATATCCTGGGACCAACATAGGTAAAATAACACTGCAAATTGATCGTCAATCAGATTTTGACTCCTAAATGACTAAATCCCCTTTGAAAATGAAATTTAGGCTCTTCAGATAGTTAACTGTCGCAATGCTCAGCACAACAATGTTTACATATCTTTAACGATCTGAGAGACAGGATAGGTGAGGGAGTAGCTGTTATCAGAGAAACTTTTGTTGGAGGAAGATACAAGCTTTTAAATTTTACAGAGCTGTTCTTAAGGTCCGGAAGAGGTAACAAGAGTGTCTGAGCTAAATACGAAGTGGGACAGTTTAAACATAAGCGTTTCATGCTGTGGGAGACAACTTTAAATGAAAGGGATAACTAAGATTAGCAGGCAGTAGGGTGTGTTACAAATCATTATAATGAACTATAAAACCAGTTTCTCTAGTAAGCCCATGATTTTTAATGTCCAGCAAAGTTACTAATTTAAGTTCCCAAGCTCCTGTCTTGAAGTTGTTATGCAGGTTTCCTTTGAGGAGAGGGACTAAGAGTCTGATATGGAATGATTGCTCTGTGAAAAGTGTTCACCCACAATTGATAGCGTATTTTTGTCTTTTATCAATTTTCTGTTTGCGTTCATTTGAAAGCATTGTCATTGTCTGGTTTCACACACATAGTTGTGGTCGGGGCAATTTGATGTACTGGATGAGCACACCACATGTAGTCTGCATGTATAGGCATGGAAATATCTGGGCCTAGATGTTATGGTTGTTGAGATACATTGGACTCACATTTTTGAGGCTGGATGATACAGTGATGTCTGTTTGGATCTGCAGAATCTGAAACAGTAAACAGAGAGGTGTGAGCTACTCTATTCGCTGCAGAGGAGGCTAATTCAGAAGCCTAGTGATAATAAATACTTTAAACATCAACACTTATTTCAGTGCTCAGCAAAGCATGCAGGAAAGGAGGAGGAGAATCACTTTATGTAAATCTGCACAATCAATGGTGAATGACAGCTTATTTTGGCAGCCCAAGAGCATAAGCTTGTGAGATGCCAACACTCTTCTCCATCCCATGCCCAGGTCAAGGAAGAGTCAAACAGAAGATGACTAATACAGCTTATTAGGGCACGTGGCCCTCAAAAAGGGACCAAAGAAACATAGTTGGACATATAAGTCTTACTGATGGGAGGCCAAGCATCATGAGCCCAGTGGAATCTATGGGTGTATTTGGACACAGATGAGGGG